TTAGATGTTAATATATTTTAAGTTTTTTTTTTACATGTAGTAGCTTTACATAATCCTTATTAAAATAAAGTAAAAATTACAAATTACTAATGAGAAAGTACAAAATTTTCTATTTAAAAAATTAAATCAAAATCAACCTTACACTATTCCAGACTAACCTATTTTAAACAAATTTAAAATAAGTTCAACCATTCAGTATTAGGAGCTTAATTACTACTGATCCAAAAATTTAATCAATTAGAATTATATTTGAAAAAAGCAAAAAAATAAGGAGGAATGGTAAAAGAGTAAACTATAAGAGTGGAGAAATCAATTATATTAAAATGTGATTTGTAATCAAAAAAGGAAATATTGTGAGATTTCTCAAGTTGCTTGGTGGTATAACAACAATCAATCTAAAGAGATTTGATTTTAGTGTATATAAAATAATAAGTGGAGAACAAAAGATTAAGGACTATTAAGTTATTCTTCATAAGATTTTGTAGTATGTTAGAAAAGGCATATGGAACAATACCTTTAATAAAATTCACAAAATTAAAGGAATTATTATTTGAATCTAATTTCTATAGGTCGAGGGAAATAATTTCTTTAATGTCAAAAGAATTTAAAATTAATTCAGTTAAGTATTAAAAGAGGAATGCTATAGTATCAAATATAATATTGTTAATTTGATTAAAGGTAATCGGGTAAGTCTAAATGTGTTCAAATATCTCAGGTAAAAGTGAGCATTTAAGACAAGTTCATGATGAATTATATAAGTTAGGATAACGTTTTTTAAGTATTTTAAGTATAGAAAAAACTCTAATAAAGTTTAACTTTGAATTTTCAAAGGGAAGAAGCCTTGTATGATGTATATTAAAATATTTTAAATTTTCTAAAATATTTTATAAACAATTTTATATTTATAATTTAAAGAGTACTATTTTATAAAAATAAAAATAAATCTTTATTAAATGATTTTATTTGAAATATTATTATAAAAAAAAAATTAAAATTATATAAAATGAATTTTTTATCATAATTAAATAATTATTATAAATAATAATTAAGTAATATTATTTTAATTTATAAAAATAACTAATTGAATTTATTATAAAAAATTTTAATTTAATTTTAAATGAAAGAAATATAAGTATCATTTATAATAAAAAGAATAGTAAAAATATTTTTTATTTATAAATTTTATTTATTAATATAGTTATTTATTTGTCAAATAAATACTAATAATAACTTTAATATAAATATGTTTTTCTTTTATATTAATATATATTTCAATTTAATTTGACATATTTTTAATATATTAAATATATAATATCAATGAGATTATTCTATTTATATCATATAGTATTAATAATAATACTTTTTTTTTCTTTATAAAAGATATTTTTTCAAGTTACACTGAATATCTTATGATGTATAATTTGAATCATAATCTGTTAAAAACTGTATAATATATAGGAAATTTGTTAAAAAAATCAAAATTTAAGAATTTTTTGATTAAAATTAAAGACTTTATTATATTTTAATAAAAACTATAATGCAATAAAAATAAAAATTTTGTTAAAAAATTTACAAAACTTTATTTTTCTAGCAATCTTTTCATATTTATATTGTTATATTAATTATCATTTTTGATACAAATAATAATTTAATTTTGGTAAATAATAAATGCTGATTTTTCATTTAACATTAATTACTACTTAATAATGAATTTTGAATAAATAATTTATTATAAGGCAATTAGTTATATATTATAAGATCACATATACATGCTATTTTTAAATATCTGAAATGTTATTTTATCAGAAAAAACAACTTTTTTCTAATTGTATTGTGAATGATTATATGTTTATTCAAAAAAACATCTTTTGTTTTTTGGATCAAAATAGGATCTTTCTTGAAAGTACAGAAACATACCAAGCTTTTTGAGCTCATAACATACTGTATGTTTAGGTTAGAATCTTTTTTTTTCTAATTTGAACACTTTTTGATTCCAAAGAGACTTAACGGAATTTCGCTGTATTTCTAAAAAGCTTTGCATAATTTCTGAAGAAATAAAAATAAAAACAAAATAACCAACCTTATTTTTTTTTTAACTTACAGAATTCCAATGCCCAATTTAGGCATATAAACAAATGCCTAAATCTGAAAAGCAACCTAGCGGTATTTTGTCGGAGACTATATTGGAAGAGTCGTTGTAGTAGTTGTAGTAGTAGTCGAAGACCAGATTTAATCTGATTAATGGTTAGTTTTATAAGTGCAATTTTCACTCAAATGAGCATCTAAACCAATACCCAAATAATTACCACCTGATTTCAAATGAAATGAGAAAATGCTGTAATATTTGAAAAACATTCTTAAATCGATCAGAAATTAAAATCAATTAAACCGCATATTAGCCAAGTTATCACGGGAGATACCAATCCTTTGAAAACAATCTTCCAGACATCAAACTAAGGACACGATTTTGGCCTATCCTTGTGACTGCTGTTAACTGAGAATAAGTGGCATCGTTGACATTGAATCCATTACTTTGCATTAACAGGAATGTTCGTCCTGCAAATGGGCCAAAATACGAACTCAAATATTCATGATCAACAATAGCCATAATGGTAGAAATGTAGAAATGTTGGAAGTTCCGCAAGTAATGAGAATAAAAACATCCTCATTGTCAGCTACTTTCTTATACTCTTCATCAAAATTTCTTGAGTCACTGCTTTTGATTTTAGGAACTTTCCGAGGAGAGTTCTCCAAATAAATTGGGCAAAATGAGTCTCCGTAAGGAGCACTTGATCCATTAATAATGTATTTTTAAGATCAATTTCGTGATTATCACAAATTAACTTTCCATTGTTGGAATAGGGGCTTGATTTGGTAATTTCTCGTTGAATAGTCTTCTCTAGTGATAATAATGCACTAAAGTTATGATCCGCTCCAGCATGAATATCTCGTAGCTTTATTGGCTTACCACTTTCAAATATTTTTTACTTGATAACACGGAAGGATGCAATAAGTGTTCGAAATGTTGCCAATATTGGCAATAGGAGGAATGGTTGGGTCTCCGATGACTTGATGTTCTCTATAATACTTAAAATTCCAAGTAGATAAAATCTTATCATTCGATGTACCACAACCAGATATATGGACATGCAAAGTTCCTACATCGATCATATCATTTTGTTTTCAAATTTAAGTTTTGAAAGCTGCTCCGGTAAAATATCGGTACCAGGGATAGAGTCTGATATTGATAAAGATGTGTGTGTCAGAATAGCTCGAAGAACATGTGTTAAATTACAGGTATTAAAAATCCATTCACTATAGCGATCCTTAAGTTGATAGTATACCGTTTCTGCAATTGAAATAAAGCTGTCATTTTCAAAATCTACATCTTGAAGCCGATTCAAATGCCTCCAATGCTCTGCCATTTCCACTCATATCGTTTATTAACATATGAAGAAGTGGTGTATCTTTGAAGATTGCCTCACCCCTTTTTGGGAGGTTCCAAAGAACGAATTGGAAGAAAAATTTGCTTTTAATGCGAACGAGAAACTATTTCATTAAATGGACGTGCAAAAAGTTGCTGTACAACACGCAATAATCAAGGCGAAAATTGTTCGTGGCAAGAAAATATCTTTGTCATTAAAGAATAAAACGATGATTCCTCACTTTGGTTGATTAGAGCGGTTTGCAATCCATCAACAATGAGGATCACAGTCGTTTCCTTTAATACTATTTTTTTTTTTTTTTGATTAGCACATCTTTTAAGAACATCAAGAGTTGTAAGATTTTGCTTTACAACATCACAAATTTCTGCTCATTGAAGGTCACTTTGAAACTGGTATAACATCCGTTTAGCAATAGCAGCATTTGCATCGGTTTCCAAAAGACGTGTTGATTATTGTATCATTTTCTAAGGAAATGTTGAAGAAGCTTCTTGTAAACGAAGTCCCAACTCTGGATCACTTACAAACATTTTGCGGAGTATTTTAGGAATCTCAGTAGAATTTCGAGATTTTCCACATTCGGCACCAGACACCATACAAAACATAGGAATGTTTGTTTTGCCGCGTCCATTTCTTTTGAACACATCATATAGCTCCCAAACATGCTTTTTTCCAACTTAAACGATTCTTGATAATCCCAAAGACGTCCGTCAGTATATAAAAGTGGCATAGGAGGCCGTTCTAAATTTAAATATATGTCTTGAGCCTTGGCCAATTATTTGGATAATCTAAAATATAGAAATAAGAAGTGACAACCACAAATTATTGTTTGAGAGGTAAAGCATTGGCAGGATCTTACCTACGATAACGTGAATGAGATCTTCGGGCAATGCTTGATTTTCAGGCAATTTTCTGCAAGTCTTTCATTAAAGTTACATTGTCATTCGTCATTCTCGTCATTTTGAAGTGAATATCGGAAATATGTCTTTCATCAACAGGGTTCTTAAGCTTCAATAACTTAAGTCTGTCTGGAGCGAAATTGTCAAACTCTGGTTCTCTAGCTTTTTTGATAATTTTCTTGAATTCGGAAACACGAGTATCCTTTCCTACAGCAATGTCAAAAATAGAAGTACTTCCTCGAACCCAACACCAAAGTAAAATATGTGTGCAACAGTAGACATTATTTTGTAATTGTGGAAGAAATTTTTTTTTTCGCAAAATGGGAAATGGTAAATATAAGAGATAATAATAATAATGGTCACGCGGATAGTTTTAATTAAGATTGATTAACTGGGTAAACTTGTTTATACTTTAAAGATTTTGATTGAAGATTAATTGTTTTGATCAGTCTCCGAAAAAAAAAAATTACATTTTAACAAACAGAATAACTATTGTAGAGAAAGAAATTATTATTATTTTTTTTTTTTTGCCACCATGATTAAATAGTCAATAAATTTTTTAAATACAGCCAAATACTTATTATTTATAAGTTAGTTATTTTTGTTTAAAATTTAGCAAAAATTAGCCAACTATGTAAAAGATAAAACGAACGAAATACATGCATGACAAACCCTAACCCATGTCTACACTTGTTCATCCTTTTATAAATAAAGTAATATAAATTTAACAACACTTTGTTTCATTAACATATTAGATGAGTGTTGCAATAATAAATATGGTAAATTTAAAGAATAAGGTATTCATTCGTAAATTGAGGCAGGAAAGTCTTAATAAATTGAGAAGTTTACGCGAAAATTAACGGGCATATGTCCCATTATAGTGATTACATAATTACGCAACGAAAATTCATTATAAATCATTCGGAATAAATGGTTGGATTTAATTTGGGTTTGTAATATTGTTTTATATATACAACAGAAGTTTTTAATACGTACGTTCTAATATGTGTAAAATTACTTAATTTATCGAAAATCAAATTAATTGATAATAGAATGCAGGATTTATATACTAGAGTACTAGATTGTGTTATACTTATTTTCAATCGTGTATTTAAGGAGGTTGCTTTTTCTTTTCCCTTTTTTTTTTTTTTTTTTTTTTATATATATATATATATATATTTATTTATAGGAAAAAAAAATAATAAATACACAGAAATAAGGGGTTTTGTACCTTTGACAATCGTTAATCCGAAATGCATTTGAAAGATCGCTGAATTAATTAATTTATATGAATACAATTGTTCGAGATCAAAACAATTTATTTCGTGTCATCGGAAAAAAAATTTTTTTCTTTTCTGAATTCCTTTCCATTATATTCCGTAATTATGGGTTTTAAATTTTCGAGGCTTTTTAAACGTAATAACAAAAATAATTATAATGATTACTATGAAGGTAGATTCTTATTTGATGAAGAAGAAACTGATCGAGTACAAGTGCAACACCATTATTTTAGAGAATCGTGGAATGGTAATTTTTCTTCTCCTGTAAAGGATGCTTTATGTGCTGGTGGTGCTAAAGTTCTCGATATTGGGTAATAGATGTAATCTAGACCTTTTTTTCTTCTCTTATTTTTTTTTGTTTCAATTTAATCATAAAAATAAATTAATAAAGTAAACGAATGAACTTTTCTTCCTAAAATTTACCCTTTAGATGCGGGCCTGGCATATTTTTATGCGACATGGCGTCAGATTATCCAAGAACATACTTTGTTGGGGTCGATTTACTCTCTACATTTCCAAGGTTAAAGCCTTATAATGTAAGCTTTATCCAATGTAACGTTTTAGAAGGATTGCCCTTTGAAAAAGATACCTTCGATTTGGTATATTGTAGATTTCTAATGTTAGACATCAAAGAATTTCAATGGAGAGATTTGGTTTTACGAGAATTGGCTCGCGTAGTAAAAACTAATGGTTGGATTGAACTGATGGAACCAAGACTCACCGTTATGAATCAAGGTCCCTCTACCGAAAGAATCTGTAATGCAAGTAAGTATCCTGGATACCTTCCCCCCTTTTTTTTTTATTTATCTCTTTTATTAAACAAAAAAGTTTTTTTTTTCCTTCTTCTTTAATATATTTATATAGTTCAAACTAAGGCAAGAGCTCATAATATGGATCCAAATTTAGTGGATGAATTTGAACGATGGTTAGGATTGATAAATAATATACATCATATAAATCGTGAAGTTCGACGATTACCTTGCGGTAAATGGGCCGGCAAGCATGGCGAACTTGGTGCATCGTTTATGTATAATGTTTTTAAAAAGCATTTAAAATATGTTGATAATTTAATTGGCATTCCATCAAATGAACATAAAGCCACCTTAAATGGTTTGTTACATGAATTTGATATGTATCGTTCTTATATTGAAGTGTATAGATTCTTTGCTCAAAAAATTGAAGTATAAAAAGAAAAGGAATAATTATATAATAGAAAGAAGATTTTTTTTTTCATTTAAGTTTTAATTAATTATTATCATGTTATATATATATCTCTTTACAAAAGTTTAAATTCAACATTAATTACATTGTTTAATAGATCTTTTCAAAATAAATACTTTTATTATAAATTCAAAAAAATTTTGATCTAAAAAAATTTATGTCCTAGTTGATAGCTAATTCGAAATTCAAAAAAAAAAGAAAAAAAAGGTTTCATAACATGGGCGCTTGGAAGTAGAAAGGGAGAAACTTGCATATGTATATATTTATTTAAACACCACTTAAAAAAATTTTTATATATGTGAACCAAAAAATGAAAGGATTTCTAGGAAAATCAGGTTTCGAGAAATTTTTGACGAAAGTTAAGAGCTTAATGCATTTTAATCTAATAACATCAAAAACTAAAATGCAATAAAAATCTCATTTTTTGTTAAAAAAATTCCCGGAACCTGATTTTCCTAGCAATCAACCCAAATGTGTTAATGTGAAAAGATTGGGACTGAAATAATATTGGATTTTTTTTTTCCGACAATTTCCTCCTTTTCGACTGCGAAGCGCCCAATTCTTCTTACAACTTTCAAAAAAAAAAAAAATTAAAAAAATAAATATTTTTTCAATTGAATCAACTACGATAATGAAAACTTTTTTTAAAAGGTGGAATTAAGCTAAATATGAGAAATCAACAAAAACTAACCACGTGAAGGATGGAATTAAAGAAATCATAAAAACGAGGTAAAAATTAAGAGTTGTTAAATCAAAAGTAAAGAACAAAATCCAAAAAAATTCCAAAGAAGAGGTAGTCAGGTTTTGATTAATTTTTAACCAGAACCTTCTCACAAACATCATCTTTAATAATAAAAATATTATTAAAGAGATGTTTGTGAGAGGGGATGTCTGGTGCATAAATTTTTCAAAAAAAAATTTTCTAAACTTTAATAATAAAAATATTATTAAAGAGATGTTTGCAAGAGAGGATCTCATGCAGATTGGATTGTCTAAATCTATTATTAAACAATCAAGTGTTGTTTTGGCAAAAAGAATTAATTGCCGAAGGTATAAATATGAAAAAAATTTCACAAAAAAAAGATAACTTGCTTGGTTATCGATCGAAAGTCATTATAATTGACGAATGACGGGGGGATTTTTTTTTTTTTTTAATTGATGATTTTATTGAAGAGGAATTATTGTTATATTTTCTTTTGTTTTCATTTGTTTTAATGTTCATGATTATTTTTTTTTAAAAAAACGAAAATGAGAAAAACTGGGACGTTTTATAAGAAATTTTCACTAAGGATGACTTTTTCGAATGCTAAATTCGGTCATAAAAGAAAGAAAATTAATAACAATAACATGAAATTAACTCCAACTATAATTCCGCATGCCATAAAGAGAAACAATAACATTAATAACATTGTAAGCATGTCTGCGTCTGCGCCGCAATCATTGTGATCATCTACATTCGGATTTTATTCCATCATTGATAGGGAGCTTCTAATAAAATCAAAAATCTAACTAATAAAGGAAAAAACAATAATTGAGTTTGACGCAGCAAATTCTAAATGCTCAGAATGTTTCACGTGGGAATAAAACACGCTTTAAATCGGAATTCCCGTTCGGAATATAATAACAACCTGATTAGGTGAGTAAATTATCATCATGTCATCGCTAATTTTATACCACTGCTTTTGTTCGTTTTTTCGTTTAAATCCAAGTAAACATCATGGAATCCCTTTGTTGATCTTTTTACTTTCCTCCTTTTTTTTTCGATTTAGGTAACTTTCTTTCTTATGATCTTTCATTTCATTTGTTCTTTGTATTTCTTTATTTGTCAATCTATACGCCCAATTTGTTTTTTTTTCTTTTTTCTAAGCCTTATCTTTCAAGGTCTATCACTTTAATTTTTACGTGTATGCCTTATATAATCCAAGCTGCGATAAAAAAAATATTCCCCATCTTTTAACGTTTCCTCTTTTATACAAACCAATCCCTTAACGAATAGTAATAAAAAAAAAAAAAAAAAAAAAAAAAAATTTCAGTATTTGCGGATCGACATTACATAAAATATATTGTGGCTATTTTTGTCAAACGAACAAAGTAATAAAGCATTCATCATCAATCATGGTTACTTTATCGATCGAACAACAAAAAAAACTTCGAGATATTGCCAAAGAACGTAAAGAAGAAAATTTAAGGTTGGCATTAGAAATGGAAGTACCAATTGAACAGGTAGAATTATTTCTCGGTAGAGCAACGGTTCAACGTATAGAGAAATCCCGTGAAATTTCTGGTTTTGATTTATTTAAAAAAGATTGGTATAAAGCGAACCCGGGAAATAACCCTTTAAGGTCAAACCATTTGGTATCGGCGGCTTGGAAAGAAGTTTCTTCTCAACAAAAACAAGGTTATCATGATTTGGCCATTAAACATAATTCAAAACCTCCTACATTAAATCCCTCCGCAAGTACCAGAACAAATGAACGAAGAGGATATATGAATGATATGAAAAGATTAGCTGATATGTTATCTTTAAAATGCGGTGTTGAAACTTTTATTGTACTATCTTCTAGAATTCCTGGTGAAAATTTTGGTGAAGTTACAGGATCTGATAAGGGTCTCTTGGCCGCTGAAGATTTACGTTGGACTCAATCATCCCTAGAATTTGGTATGAAAATTCAATATAATATAAACAATGAAGGTAAGTTCGTGAAAATGATCATTATTACATTTGTAAATCTCTCTAATTACTTTTATTATCCTTTAGAATCACATATACAGACTAGGCCTATTAAAAAACATAAGAGAAATATGAATGAGGGAAGACAATTTATTGCTCATCGCATGAAAGAACTATATAGAGAAGTAGTTGGTTATGGTGTTGTACCTTATTCAAATTGGGAAACTGAAAAATATAAATTTGGAATTGATATCGTTGGATGGCCCGAAGGGATACCTTTTACTGCTCACGCCTTTAAGCGTGAGCAAATGCAAGAAATAATTAATAATTTAGAACAAAAGAAAATCAAATTTATTAGTACGAAGGATATTAGAGATACTCCTCCTGACATAGATAACAATGATCATTTTAGAACCGATTTATCATTATCTGAATTAGACCTCATGAACCAGTAGAATTTTTATATATAAAGGTGAGAGTAAATACATTTTAATAGATTGATGATTATGTTTAATTATTCTTTTAGTTTTTTTTTTTTTTTTTAATTTTAGGAATAACATTACGTGCAAATTTAATATCATCAAAGGATTGTACATAATAAGTTTAAAATTATTAAAGATTTAATAATCAAACATCTTAATATATATATATATATATTTTTCTTCGAGAAAATCTAAAAGTTCAAACAAAATAAAGATCACCTTTTGAAAAAAAATCATTAATTCACAAAAGGTTTTTCAAACAATTTATTTTACAAAATTTTTACTTACGCAATTTATTAATGTTTATGACGCATGACAAATATTATTAATATTCAAAAAAAAAATTTATAACTAAATAATAATAACTGATATTAAATAAATAAATAATAAATAATAATAATAACAAACAAGCATTAATTAAAGCATTTATGAATTCTTTAAATATACTATTAATACAAAAAAATTAAATGGAAAAAGAAAAAAAATAATATACAAAGTTGAAAATGAAATAAATAATTAATTAATAAATATCAAATTTCTCCTTAAATCCTTCATCTATTATTATAATGCTTTCTTGCAAAGTTTGAAGGATTATATGACGCAGGATTATTATGTCTTAAAGCTACTCTGCTACTAGCCATTTGACAATTATGACAATCGCATAGATGAATCGGTGTTATGCCATCATGTGGGGTAACAAACTAACAATTTAAACAATTTTAGAATATCAAAAAATCAATTATTGCTATAAAAATAACAAAAACTTGGTATTACATACTCTATCATTCCTGTAATCAATCGGCATATTATAACTTTCATAATGATAATCTCCGCCACGTGGATTTTCATTTCGTATTGTTGTTCTTCTTTCACCAAATCGTGTCGTAATTTCGTTAACACGTCCCAATATTGGCGCTGGCGTATGTCGTGTTGAATGAGAATTCTATAATACATCGACGAGATTAAATAAAGAAAAAAATAATAATAATAAATGACAAAAGATTATGATTTAAACACTTACGGGTGTTCTCTCCTCGTTCATTAGCTGAAAACGATTCGTCATTTCACGAACTGACGAACCGCGTCTTGGAGGCATAGGGTCATTATTATTGTACGATCTTTGTGGAAAAAGCCTGTCTCTCGTATCTCTCGAATCATATGATCCTTGATTTTGCGAAGGAACATAATCATATGATTCATAATCATCATCATAATGTTTCGGACGATCATAATTTGCATCATTATATATCGTTCTTTCTCCATGAACGGATGAATTATAAATTAGACTTTCATCATGATGAATTACATCTCGGTTTGTATAACGATTCATTTCATTTATTCTTGCTTCATTATTGTTTAGCTCTGGACTTGTTTGACAATAATCGCTATCTTCATCATATTTTCTTGTAGTCGTGTATTCTTTTCTGTACTCATCACCATCATAAGAATATTTCAACGGAACTGGTGATCGAGAAGGTGATGGTATATCCTTTTTAAACGAAAGCTCGCCAGGGACATGTTTAGGACTCTCTGAATATGTTCGAGGTGGTGATTGATTTACTGAATTATTATTATTATTTAAATTAGGGATAACATTATTGTCAATTGACGATTTCTTCTCATTTATAATCTTAATAGGTCTACTTGTTTCAAGCGTTAATTTAATTCTCTCATTATTTTCTTTAGGTTTTTCAATAGGGGGCAATTCACTTTTTGTTTTTTCCGTTTCTTCAATTTTTGGTTTCTCGTTTGGCTTCTCGTTTGACTTTTCGTTTGGCTTTTTGTTAACATCATTTAAGGTTGCATTACTATTGTTAGAAATACCATCTCTATCATTCTTGGGTGGAAGTGTCAGCGTTTTGAAAATGTCTTTCTGTTCGGATTCCTCATCCTGCAGTTTCGCGGGTTTTTCTTCATCCTTTTTTTTGTTATCTTTTTTCTCTTTTTCATTCTCCTTCTTGTCATCAGTCGTTACATTTTGGAACTTAATAGATCGTTCTTCTTGATTTATGGATTGATTACTAAGATTTTGACTTGACACATTCTTTTCCACTTTGCTTTCCACGAAAACTTCATGTGGACGAAATTCGACAGCCTTCTCATCCCGTATGAATGGATCATCATCATCACGAACTCCGATCGAAAACCTTGAGAATAGATCTAACGTTGACGAAGGTTTTAGGCTATTATTTGTATTGTTTGAAGGTTGTATTGGTGAAGAAGCCGGAGTTGAATTATCGACAGAAAGCGCCGGCTGTACTATAGGAGTTGAAGGAACTGATGATGTCGCTAAACTTGAACAACTAGTGCTTTCATTACTTTTCTTGTCATGATTATTGATTCCATCCAAGGAAAGAGAAAATGGATGAGGATACGTCGGTTTAGTAGTTTCAGGTGTCGTTATTACTGGAGATTTTTGTTCATGCGTTTGCACGTATCTCGTTGAAATGATATTATTTTCAGGTTCTTCATTAAACGGTAACCTATTTTCTTGTGAGAGGTTCATTGCGGCTATCTGTTTCTCCGCTATTGATGCAATAGATATTACTTTTTTCTCCGAAGTTATCGAACTCTTATCTGATTGTGACTGGGATGCCTATTTTAATAGAATTGAAAGTTAGACAATAATATAAATAAGTCGAATTTTTTTTAAGACAGCAATAGTTTACTTGTTCCTCCAGAAAATCATCCAAGTCTTGAGGTGGTGGCATGTCCTCTCCTGCGAATGGTTCCCACTCTTTCATCTTTGTTATACTAGGTCCACATCTTTTCAGTGAATCATTAAAATAAGCAAATTGACCCTCAGCAAGTCTACAGACTATTTGTGATATAATCGAGTGCGTTCGTTTTTCACGTTTCGCCACCTTTTCGGCATATTCCTTTTGTGCCTGTCCGATATTCGAACCTAGAGTTGCAAATGATGTCATGTATTGCTATTTTAAAGAAATGGATAAAATAAAAGGTTGGAATTAACGAGATGAAAAACTGGAAGGGGAACGCAATACAAATTCAAACTTTTCCACTTTATTTACATTATGAGAATCAATGGAGGGCTTATTATCTTTATCTTTCTTTATCTTCTTTTCATAATCTTTATTCATCTTTTTCATTTGTTTGTCCAATTCTCCAACATAATCATTATGAGCCTTTTCATCTTTCTGCGAAAAATTCGATTCAATCATGATTATTATGATTATAAAACAAATAAATGATGAATGAATAATTTTTTTTTAAAAAAGAAAAAAAAATACATACGGCCACTTTTTTAGAATATTTTTCCCAGTATTTTTGAATAGCTTCGAAATCCTTTTGTAAAGCCTTATTCTATATATATATATATATATATATATCAAGCCAATTTTTAAATGAATTAAGTTTTATTAATTTGATCAAAATAATAAACGAATGTATAAATAAATAAATAAATAAATATGTTAAATTACCAATTTTGATTGAATCTCTGTACTATTATCGTAAAATTGGGAAGTCGTCTGAAGGCACATGACTATAAAAAAAAAAAGATCGATTTATCATTTAAAATGTATTCAAATGATATACAATGTATAAACATATATTACATACCATGAATGCTTTCCATTCCTTTACTGTTACTATAATCTTTTAATAGCTTACTAAACGTTTTCGTTGCTTTATTTAGCTTGTTCAATATGTCCCGATAAGCGTCAGCGGCTAGAACGAGACGTTCTAAATTATCTATCGCCTTACGAACTTCATCGGCATTAGGTAATTTATCGTCCAGCTTCTCATGAGAGTGGAAATTATTAAAAGTTATAGTGGAATTTTTTGTCGGTGACATTGGAGGAGACCCGAAGAAGGTAAGACGTTTCAATGCCATGATTTTTTAAATCTTTGTGTTGATGAATTACCGTTGAGAAAATGATATATTAACAAGTCATTAGAAAAGAATATCGCGCATGAAGCTTTTAATAATTCTCATTAAAAAAAGAATTGCGTATACGTGTATTCGTGTATTCGTGCGTGCCCAAGAATTAATGTTAAGGCTTAAAAAAAAAAAAAAGAAAAGAAAAGAAATATGATCAAAAGGAAAATGAATGTCAAAAAGAAGAAAGAAGTTTAAAAGGAACCCCTAAACAACAGTCATTTATGTTATGGGCCAAGAGGGATTAAAAAAAAATATTTATAGTTAATCACTGAACACAAGGGGGGGTCAATTTTGTCCAAAATTGAAAGTTTTATTTACCCTTATGACGTCGTAATAGGATTTGCACTCGAATGCTTAATTTAGCAACAAATGTTTAAACTCGGATTTACTGCATTAAAGAAATCCTAAGCATTCGTCGTTCAAAAATCTTTTTGGGGGATCTGAATTTTATTATATATTACCATGACATCGGGTGCATCGGTGACATTTGTTACTCCCATACTTTGGACAATCCATCCAATTAAGCTATAGCAAAATGGGGAATGATTTTAGGCATCAAAAACGATATGACAATAATAGCATACATATATGAAAAGTATAATCATTCATTACTTAATTTTTTTTTAAAAAAAAAAAAATAATAATAATAATGAATAAGATTTAATAAAACATTAAAATGTGAATCCAATGTAACTTAAATTGTATAACAAGTTCTTTGTTCTCAAATTTTAACCTAAATTTTACTATTTAAAAACTCATTTATAGAATGGATGATCTATTTCTACAATCAGACATATGAAACTATAAATACGGTTTCTTTTTTTTTTTCTTTTTTTTCTTCTCTCTTTTTCTTTACTTGGTAACTTTAATATGACAACTATTAACCCATCACCGCAACTTACACCGGATTGTCTTGAAGATGTTTTCGATTATTTGAGAAATGATCGATCGTCACTTTTCTCCTGTTTACTCGTCAATCGACTTTGGTGTCGTCTTGTAATTCATTTAATTTGGAGTGATCCTTTCGCCATCGATTCCAGCGACACCTCCCTGTCCAACATTATACAAACGTACATTTCTTGTCTTCCAGATACCTCAAGACAGCTCATCGTTAACAAAATTAGAAATACCGAGGAGAAGACGGACGAAACGTCAAATGATGATGATTCCACGCAATTAAATTTTCAACAACCACTTTTCATTTATCCTGAATACCTGCAAAATCTTGATTTGAAAAATTTTAATGATGCACTCCGAGTGTGGCATAAGGAACATGACAAGTCATTTGATGAATCGATTCCAGATTTCACCATTTCAAAAGTTTTGGTCGATTTCATTTTTGAGAAATGTTCAAGTATATCTCAATTAAATGTTCATCTTTGGGATAAATGGAATATACCATTATTTGAAATGAACTTTGATTTATTATTTAACAGAAAGAATGAAAGAAATGTTTTTTTTAATTTAAAAGATTTTAAATTTACTTTCCTCGCAAAAGAAAGGTCGGAAGGGTTGCCAAAATCTCATCAAATTATCGTAAATTTATTTAAAATGATGGAAAGAACATCGAACAATATTCAATCAATGGAAATAATCTTCAGATTACATCATCCACCGGAACATGTTGATCAGGTCATCGAGAACTTAATCAAGGCGCAAAAGAATTTAAAAACTTATAAATCCAATGAATTTTGGGATTCAAAAAAACCGAATATCTATAACGTTTTGATGAAAAAGAATAATTCCCTAACTTATTTAAATTTGATAAATCTATCTTACTTTCACGAATCTTTGATCGAAGGGTTAATGGCTTGTAAAAATCTAGAAACCTTAGAATTATCAAGATGTCCTGAAATGCCTTCTCGTTACTTGGACTCTTCTCCAAAAAGTAATCTCTCTATTAAAAATTTAAAATTTTATTACTCAACGAGTTTTCCGGTGTGCGAAGAAACCTTTATTACTTTACTTCAAATGTGTAATATTAATCTAAGAAAATTGGTCGTCAAAGGGGTAACTGGTGACATCATCGACGCAATCTGTTTAAACAATTCACAAATAACCCATTTGTCTCTCTGCGCTCATCAACAAATTTTTGATCCCCCACAATCTTTATCCTCTTTAACAAACTTGACTCACCTTAAATTAGGCAGTTATCAAGCGATCATTTTCGTGGATCGTACGTTACCTTATTTTATCGATTCGCTTCCTTCTTCTTTACGGCATTTGTATTTTAATTTTAATATGAGTCCAATATCTTTAATATTTTTCTTAAATGAATGTAAAATTCCTTTAAAAAGCATAGAATTTCATCAGGTTGATGTTAAGGATGATGATGTTATTGATGCCATGATTAATTATAAAAAATCAAATCATGAGAGTTGTGAAGAGATAAGGTTATTCATAAAACAACACTTTTACTTAAGGTTGGAAGAAACGAGGAAATACGTCAACATTATTATGGATGCTTCTAATGCTCATCAACAAAATTATGACCTTTGGTAGGTTTAACTTGAAATAATTTTATTATTATTTATTTATCTTATCCTTTGCGAAAAAAAAAAAAAAATTATTTAAAATAAAGATATCAAATTTTTTTTTTTTTGTAAATTGAAATATAACGATTTTTTTTTTTTTTTTTTTTTTTTATTATTTAATAACATCTAATAAATAATGATGCTGATGATGATGATATGACGATGAAATTTATTTTTTTTTTTTTTAAAAAAAAAAAACTCACCTAAAGAAATTTTCTGACGATTTGAAAAACTTCGTAATCGCTAGCGTAAAAAACGTAATTGCCAGGAGAAATTCTATTCTCGTAATTTTTCTTTAAACAATGACCCTCCCAATGTCCTTTATAATTTCCCACCAAAGCTAGATCAGAAGCAAAACAAGGACCGTAATCCTCATATTGAAAGATTGCCTTTTTTGTTTCCTTAACCTTACTATGAATAGTGGTTAAAGATAAATTTGAAGAATGTTTGTCATCTTGACCCAAAGAAAATATAAAACTTTTATTCGTTTTATGAAAAGCCCCTTCGGGATGAGCTTCCCAATTTAAAGGATTGTAACCACCAAGTAATTCGTCTGAATGAAGTACCTTGAGAATAGTGATAGTCGGACCCTTTAAATCACACTTTTCATGAAATATTTTGGGACCAAACCCATCTCTACTCCCCCTGACCAATAAATTAAACTCAAAAGGAATATTATATGATTGATACTCTTCATCATTAGTTAACCAACTACAAATCAATGCCGCATGTTTGGGTGTAATCAAGGTTGAATTAATATCCTGTGATGATTGAAAGAGCGTTGCGGTTACAATGTCCAATTGAGACAAATGTAATTCCAATAATTTTGCGTAGCATTCATCTCCAAAAGATCTTCTAAAAATTCTAACCTTTGAAGCGAATTCATTTGGTCGTATTAAAGAAAAATTAATATACGGAATAAAAGGTGAAATGATATTACCAAATATTGAAAAATCTTCAGGGGACCAATTTTCAATTATTAATGAAAGGTAAGGAACTTGGGCGATTGACCACTCTACGATTTTATCCCATAATTCAATTTCTCTTCTAATCAAATATCTCATTTGAAGTAGCGAGATTAAAGAGTCCTGATCTATATTAATGAAATCCGTAGAATCAAAAACGATAGAAGGTTCCCTTTCCATCGCATTTAAACAAAATTCTTGTAACTTTGTAAAGTCCTTATAATGTTCATCTTGGGTTGCAAATTTATAAATCAATGCGAAATGATTTAATAATTCATCCGTATTATTTAATAAATGATCCTCTATGTATTCTAATAGATCCGTTAAGCATAATTCTTCCGCCGCTCTTAAAACACTTATATTAAATTCGACATCGTTTTCGGGTAGATCGATCGATGCGCCATATAAATACTTTAATATGATTTCAAACACTTTTGGTGATATATTCGGTTTATTAAAGATGAATATACTTCCTTCTGTTTTCGCCCAAACATTTGATAAAGCTACTCGAAAATATGTTGAACGAGCTCGTAATACAAGAGAATGAACTTTGAAATCTTTTTCGTCATTATCTTGACCAGTATGCAAAATAACATCAAAGAATTCTCCCGTTTCTAATAATACTTTATAATCATGAGATAATATCGATAAAAAATCTTTTGACATATTGTAATGGTTTGTCAAAAAAAAAAAAAAAAAAAAAAAAAAAAAAAGAGAAAAAAAGTAGAAATAAAAATGAAAAAGAGTGTGGATTTTAAGGAGATATTTGATGTGGCTGTAATCGTTCATACTTATATCATTTTTTTTTTTTGTTAAATTTTGTGTTACAAATTCTTTTTTGCATATCGAATTTTAAAAAAGAAAACAGACAAAATTGACGTGATTCTTACAACATTGGAAAGATCATTTAAAATTTTTTTTATCCATCCCAATTAATATTTCTAATTAGAATTTTAAAATTTTAAAAAATATTAACCACATTTGTAATAAACTATCGCCATTGTAATAATTTATTTGCTTTTTAAAGATTTGAGGAGGTAAAAATCATTTAAGGATATCCCTTGGATAGAATTCTAACGTGATCTAAAATCGCCTTAGAGAGGTAAAGGTGGTAAGAAAGAGAGAGAGAGAGAGAGAGAGACGATATCTACCTCTATAATTCACTTTGAACCCAAATACCACGATTGAGAGAACTTGATTTTGTAGCACCAACTTTAATAACACCAGACTACAAAGTGATAAACCTGCAGAGTTTCAACCAAATGGAAAACAGATATTCCCAAACAAATAAACAACATATTGCGCCAATTCATTCCATTGAATTTTGATTTTTTTTTTTTTTTTTTTCTATAAAAAGAATAATAAGAATATTTGGTTTAAAAATAAAATGAACCCTAACTATGAATGGAAAATTTTCTTACATAAACTGATACCATACTGTTTAGTGATCTTGAGAATCTAGGAAATGAAAAATTGAATTACTCTTGCCAATAGTTGAGACGTGTAAATAATATTTACATAATACAATCTAAAATAAAATAAAGTTATTATTACCATTGAACGGCTAAATATTACTTTCTTTAAATTTAATTTAAAAGGTTAAATAAAAATAACTATTTTGGAGCTAGTATTTCTTTTTTTTTAAACTTTCTATTGCAAAGGTCCCGTGTGCCTTTTTTTTTTTTTTTTTTTTTTTAATAACAAATATAATAATAATAATAATAATATTTGCTAACGATTAGAAAATGTACGCATTCATTATTATTTTTAGGGATGTTAAGCGGTACTAAAAGTCCCAAGGAAATTACAAAGAATTAATTTATTAACCTTGACTATTAATGAGCTACTTAATGAAAATAAATAATAAACCCTCTTGGGATCCCAGAATTTCTTAAAATTTAAAATTTTAGGATTTAAGACTTCTCTAGAATTAGTAATCTCTAAAATCGTAAGGACCGGTTAAGGACCGGTTAACATCCCTAATTATTTCTTATTTTTTTGTTTATACTTCACGAGAATTTCCAAATTCTACGAAATTTTTCGTTGTTTACATTTCAACTCTTGGATTTTTCAAGAAAAATCTTTATTTTTTCTCATCTGCACGACAAAATAAACTTTTTTAAAATAGAATTTGATCAAAAGTATGGAATTGATTTACAAGAACAATGAATTATAGCAAAAAGTGATTTCTAAAAATAAAACAAACAAATAAACAAGTAATAGACACGTAATTTAATGTTAATACCTTTATGTTCTCTTTGATTACAAAAATAGCAATTATTATGTAACAACAAGGTTTCTTTTATGCGTGTCGTCCTTTATTTCTACACAACGTAAAGTTTACATAAACATAAAATTGGTGTAATTGGTAACAATGTCATGCAAAAAAATATGGTTATTTTTTCTTTTTCTTGTTGAAAATCGTGGCATATGCATACCTTATTTATTTGAACTCGTAACGAATTTTGTTGCCTTTTCGTCTTTATAGCAGAGGAACCAATTCGAAAAATTAAAAGAAATACATTAACTATTTTTTAGACGGTTCAACAAACCCGACTTCATTGAAGATAGAAATTTAATTATTATATATTTTGAATTATGAAATATAATTAATTAAAAAAAAAAAGAGATTTTATTCATTAAATTGCCTGTTATGATGTCGGATAATTTGAGTCAATAGTTTTCGAAGGTTTTTATAAATCAACATCTATGTTTGTTTTACCGACACACTTTCATTCTCGCTTTTCTTATAATTATTTAACATTTCGGTTCCTTTCGTGTTATATATAATTGTTATGAGAAGTCCATGAGAAACACCAATATACCGGAAAATGCTTTTGAACAAGTTCTGGATTAGACATTGGCGCAAGGGATTGGAGTCGTAGGGTTAAGGGCAGTGTTGGCAAATGGCCACGGCCGAGAAAATTTTGGTCATTTGCCGTGACCAATGGCCAAAATGGGCCAAACAGCCAAATTTTGGCCAAAAAACTAGGTATTAACATATGTATTAAATACTTATTAGAATTTGATTGGCATTTGGCCGCGGCCAAGTTGGCCAATGGCCAAACGAGCCCAAAGCCAACACTGGTTAAGGGTCTGTTGGACTACGTACATTAAGGTTGAGTAGTGTATATCGCGTGAAATGGTGTATCCCTAACACTAACCTACCAGCATTAATGTTAAACTCCTAGCTTAATAGCATAACTAATCGTGTTAGTCACATGAACTTATACTACACCACATAGATGTTTGTTTCGAGAAAAAGAGTAACAAAAGGATTTTTACCATCGAAGTTCTAGAAATAATTAAAAGTGAGAGGACAAATTTAACAAAAAAATTATAAAGTTACCGTCACCACATAGCTAGGATCTATTTTTACGGATTAGGATTAATTTGGAGGTTTAGGGTCAGTTTATTACCGGTAAAATAAAATCTTGACTCATTTTCTCATTTTCTCGAGGTTGCAAGCAACAAAAGAAACGAAGCTAGTCAACGTTTAGTTATAAAAGCAACCATTTCTTTTCTTCATTTTTTTTTTATTCAAACTTACTAATATCATGCATATCTAATTTGTACCCTAATTTATTTAATAGGTTTCAATGATTTTTCTCATGAACCATACCTTTCATCATTTTATTATTTCAATTTTAGCGATGCATGATATACACATTATTTGTAGCTCTTTCATTTACGTTCTCGAACACGTCAACTCACTGATGATTATTGAAATCATTATACATCATCAATGTGAGGATATAATATTAAAAAATATGTAAATCCCTCACTATTAAGTGGCTTACAAAATTAAATGCATAGGTTTAGTTTCAAACATATCAGGTCGGGTTTTAAAATTTTTATCTTTTTAACCTTATTAGTAAATGCTAAATCAATCCATAACGTTTAAAGATAATAAAATTTGGATTTACATTCATTTTGAACGATCAAAAGTGTCGTGTCGGAAACTCGCAATGAACATGAATTTTAATTAGTTCAATAAAAACTTTAGAAAAAAAAAATAAAATTGAATAATAGAAAGTTAATCTTCATTGAATTTCAATATACAGTACATTCATTTATTAAAATCTTAACAATATGACATGACGCCAAGCCCTGTATCACAACATTAATCGAGTTTTAAAGGAACATAAATAGGGTTTACCTACAATTGAGGGGCACAAACGAAATTTCTTGTTTTCTCAAATATCAACATTTTATTTTTTTTTTTATCATGGTTCGGCCGTCAAACTTGTCAAATCGAACAAATTTGAAAACTTCCTAAACTATAGAAAAAAAAATTATATGCACTCACTTAGGAAAAGTGTTCGAAATCATTTGGATTACCTTGATGGAAGATTCTTTTGAGCCACATATTTTTTGGTGATCACCCAAAAGCGAACAAATTATTTAATTGAAATCCAAAAAAGACGATGTTAATGATGTTCTTAATGTTTTGTTTGGTTTAAGTTTAAGATCTGAAACAAGCATGAGAGGCTTTTGCGAATTACTTTCGTATTGTTGTCATCGAATGTCAAGCCACATTCTTTCATATTTAATGGCTGGAGATAATGCATTTAAAAATGTGGTGTACCCCGAAGTATTCTAAATTTAGAACATTAGGAAAAAAAAAAAATTAAAGGTTTCTTTTGACATACTGATAATTAATATATTGTATTGTTATAACTTGTGGCGAATTCATGATTCATTAGCACGTTGACGTTCCGTGTGAGATTTAATGTAAATAAAAAATGTAACCTTAACCTTTAAATAAAGAATCTGTTTCGGAAATAAAAATTCTTTTAAGAGAAATTAAAGATTATGATCATCAAACCTTTGTTGGGAATATATATATATAAAAAAGGTTAATGAAACAATGTATATCCTGTTTCATAATTAGTGATTTGTTACTTTCCATTAGGAAAAAAAAAAAGATGCGTTAGAGTCGGACGAAATGACTTTTAGGATTAGCCACAAGGCCTTCTTGAACAAGTATATTCAACATCCTATTTGGGTAAATAAGTACAAAGGTGAAACTACAATTAAAAACCGAACAAGGCATTTAGATTACACAAGTTAACGGCCGAATAAGGAACATGATAATCCTATTCTGAAAATTGTTATAAAAGGACCAAACCCAATTCTCAAAACCCTCATCAAAAACTTTCAAAATCATCTAACCAAAGCCTTCATTTTATTCTTTACCCTAGTGGTCCCTTCTCCTAGCACACATTTCCTTATTCACTGCGTGGATAAATAAAAAAAAAAAAATCAATCAATCAATCAATCAATCAATCGTAAAACCTTTTTTTATAGAAATATTTACTAGAATTCAAAAATGGTTGCTCCACGCTTCAACAAATTCTTTTCCATCGCTGTGCTAGTTGCATTCTTGGTCTCCTCGGTTGAACCGAAAGGAGAAGTTGAATGCCCTCCCAAATCCCAAACCAAACAATACGCTGAAGAAAAAACCGAAAAATATATCGTTGTCTTTAAAAATGAAGCTTCTGCTAAAACTGAAGAGTCGATTATGGAAAGGCATTATAAGATCATGAAGGAGTGTTACAACAAACGTGTAGAACACGTACTCGAAAGTAAATCATCATCGAATAGTAAAGATAAAGACGTTCTTAGAGATTTCTCTATCGGCACCATCCAAGGATATTCCGCAAATTTTGGCTCTTCTTTCGTGAAAGAACAACTTAAACAAATGAAAGGTCTCGCTATCATTGAAAAGGACGCTAAAGTCAGAATTAACTATGCTGTCCCCCAACTTTATAAACGTGCAGTAGTAAAAAACCCAACACCAAATATTGATCGTATCGATCAAGCAAAATTTCCCTTGGATAAATCATTTACATTCCCGGATACCGCTGGAGAAGATGTTGACATTTACATCATTGACACTGGTATTACAACCTCGCATAATGAATTCGGAGGCCGTGCCAAGAGCGGAGGTGCTTTCTGTGATGGTTGTAATGAAGATGATGAAAATGGTCATGGTACCCACGTCGCTTCCATTGCTGCAGGAAAAACTTTAGGAGTGGCCAGAAAAGCCAATCTCATTGCTATTAGAGTTTTGGACGCTGACGGTAGTGGTTCAAATGCCGGTGTTATTGATGGTATGACCGCTGTAATTGATCAACACAATAAGAGTCAAAACAAGAAATCAGTTGTCAACATGTCTCTCGGTGGTGGCTTCTCGGACGCTGTGAACACTGCTGTTAAGGCTCTTACCGATGCTGGTGTTCATGTTGTTGTCGCCGCCGGTAACGAAAATGCAGAATCTTGCACTAAATCACCTGCATCTGCTAAAACCGCTATCACCGTTGGCGCTACCGAAGCTAAATCCGATGCCATTGCAAGTTTCTCAAACTTTGGAAAGTGCAATGATATTTTCGCTCCAGGTGTTGACATTACTGGTGCTGACTTTAAAAATGATAATGGTAAAATAGTTTTCTCTGGTACCTCCCAAGCTTCTCCACATGTTGCCGGTACAGTAGCCCTTGTAATTGCTAAAGATGGTAATAAATCACCAGCTGCAATGGCAAAAGCGATTGTCGATTTATCAACCAAGGGTGTTGTTAAAGGTCTCAAGCAGGGATCTCCAGATGCGTTCTTGCGTGTTCCAGCTGCATAAAATTGAAAAAAAAAAAATTTGTAGATATATAGAGGGGGTGGTTTTTTTTATCGGCTTTGGTTAGATTTTTATTTTCATACCTCAATCACTTTCTTTTAACCTTTCTGTTTTATTTTTTCTTGTATTAAAACATACCTGTTAAATAATAATTAATTTGAAAACCTTGTAGAGTAAGAAAAAATTGTTAAAATACAATAAATAAAAAAAAATTATTTAAAAAAAAATATATCTATAAGTTGCAAACAGTATATAAATTTTTGCTAGTAAAATTGTTCAAAAAAAATAAATATGCAAGTCTCTAAAGGTGCAAAATTCGAGAATAAGAATAATTAACTTTGTTTCATATAAAATTAGATCGATTAATAAACGACTTTTTTATTTTAACGATGAGGCAGGATCTTTATTTATAAAAAGAAGATAATCGATACTATAGCGAAACGTTAAAGCTATCTATCACAAACTTTGGGATTACTATAAAATTGACATGAGAAATAGATTTGTAGTTATTAAAGAAATTTTCATTCATTTAAAATCATGTTTATGGTGGCAAAAAGTCCCTTTAAATATCTCGCAAAAATTAATATATATTTTATGATTCAATAAATTGAATTTATAGTAACACCTTTAATATATTTTATCATATTATTTAAACACGTATCAATTATTGAAATTATATACTAATTAAAATAACCATATTATTTTGGTTTAGGATAATAATAAACTCGTAATGCTATTATTACTCAACCAATTTGACATTTATATTATTACTTAAAATTTATTATCTAGCTTAACAAAAATTATTTTTTTTTATTACATCACATTCAGCAAGTTATAAATATTGATTTCTTCATTTTGGATTGGTTTTTTGAAAAACGAAGAAACAAATTTAAATATACAAACATTAGAATTTATGATAAAAAATATATTACTATAATCTTAATGATAAAAAATTTAAATTATATTGCATTAAATAATGATAATATTCACAAATGTTAGATATTATTTATAAAGAAGGGAATTACAAAATGAAATGAGGATGATGAAAATTTAACTTTAAATAAATTAAAAGAATCATCATCATTACAAAATGTTGATAAAAGGTTAAATATTAAAAATTTAATATTCTTAAGATTATGAAAATATAAATAATACTATGTTTCTAACTATTACTCATATATAATAGCAAAAAATAAGATGAGGAGTGGGATCCTAAAGAATTAGTTTAAATAATTAATTTAATTACCAATTTTTCATTTATTTTTTTTAAATTTCTATTTAATAAAGTTTATTTTATTCTTATAATACAATTTATTCAAAATCATCAAAAAATTTATTTTATTATAAAAATTTAAATTAAATTATAAATATAAAAAATTTACTTATTTTTTTATAAAATTCTATACTTAATTATTTTTATTATAAAAAAAAAAAATAATATATCATGTGACTAAATTATAAAATTAATTTACAATCTTATCATATAATTATAAAATAATATCTTTATTTTACTTAAAAATTTTTTCATTAATATCTTTAATATCATTAGAATTTAATTTTAAAATATCAACTTTTTATTATACTAATATATAGACACTTTACAATAAAAAGAAAAGAAACTACCAAGAAAAATTTTTTTGAGTTAATGTTAAATCTGAATTTATTTTACTAAAAAAATGATATTTAGTTTATAAAATAAAAAAATTTTTTGGTAGTTTTCTCTTTTTCTATTGCAAAGTGCTTATATTCTACTGTTAGCATGTAATTATTATGAATTGTAATAGCTAGATAAAGTATTAAAAGTTAAATAAATTAATAGTTTTATTATTACTATAAAGTATATTTATACCTTGGTAAATTAATAAAATATTGATTTTATTACTCAAAAGATTTATATAAAAGTTACAAATTAAATCAAATAGTTTATTCATAAAATTAAAAAAATAGATGATAAAATAATAAATAAAAAAAATAAGAAAAGAAAAAATATAATTATACATTTAACTAAGAGTTATGCATATTTTTAAAGGTGATCTGATCAAGATATATCTAGCAACTAATAGTTATCCTTTTCTATTATAAATTTGATCTACTATATATACTTTTAATATTATATTTAAGTATATTAAATAAATTAAATATATTAATTATAGTAAATATATTAAACATATTTAATATATTTAACATTTTTAATATTTAGTATTATTTTACATTTATAAATTACATAATTATTATCCTATAATATTATATAAAATTTTTTATAAACATTTATTTTTTTTTAATATAATTTTACCAAATAAGAAATATATTAATTACTTTTTGATTTGAAATTTTATTTTAACTTTTTAGTTTTTGTTATTTTGCAATATAAGTTAAAAACTTATTTTTATTCTTTTTTATAATTTTTAATTTATAAATATTAATTATTAATTTTTAAATTAAAGTAATAGTATTTGATTTTTTAATATTTTTACTTTTTAAAATATCTAATATTTTTACCTTATTTATATAAATTTTATTCAAGAATTTTATCACAAATATAAAAATTAAAAGGTTAAAATATAACATAAGTATATTATTTGAAAAATTTCTTTATTACATATAAAATAAGGATTTTTTCAATTTTTTATAAGTTTATCAAATACTTGTTTTAAATAAAAATGCATAAATTTTATGATAGTTTTCATTTTATTAATATTTAAAAATATCAAATAAAATGATTAAAAAAATGCTTTTTATTTATATTAATAATAAAAAAATAAACAATTATAAATATAATAAATAATAATAATAATAATAATAACAATAAATAATGAAAATAATGATAACAATGATAAATAATGATGATAAATAATAATTTAAAAATTAGGCTTTCTCATTTATGAAAAAATATAATAAAGAATTTGATTGATTTTAAACTGTTCGCGTTTTTTACAATTGTCTCGCTAATCACATGATTTTTTCTGCATGCGCTAAAATTTATAGTGATCTGTGTCACTCATTTGATTTTTACAAAAATGTCTTCTTTTCTCAGCCTTATTTTAAAGTTTTCTCGCCCTACCTCATGCATTCTTCGACCAGCAGTATTTTTCTCATCTACTGCCACATTATTTGACGATGCCCTTAAGACATCACGAGAATTAGTCAGGACCATGCTTAAAGAACGGGGCTTTACTGGCAATCTCAATATCACTTCTTCTGCTTTCAATAAAAATGATTTGCGAGCACTAAAAGTGAGCCTTGAGCCTACTCACAAGTGCGACGTCCTTCCTTGTGGTATAAAAGGTACGAACTATACTGTTCAACATTCCTTTTTGGCGAACCTAATGCTAATATAATTTAGATATTATTTAGTTACTAGCTTTTTTGAGAAATATACTCTTCCGCAAATCGATATTCAAACACTTAGAGATCAAGAATTTGATGTTGACAGTCTTAAAGAAATTACGGATAATCAAGTCAAAGTATTCTTAACCGATTTACACGAAGTTATTAAGAATTTAGGTGATGATGAAGGCACGGAAGAAGCTGTGACTGACACACTGGTAAATAATCTACTAGTTCAGATTGCTGGCATGCATTACCATCCCTTGAGAGTTAGGTGAGAATTTATGAAAATTATGTGTTTGTAATATGCATTACATCGATTTCTTTGAATTTACATTATATCTGAAATTAGAACCCACCCGCGATGCAAATTATACATTTTGGGCGAGCCTTATGTTTCAGCGACACCCAAATTTGTGGTTAATAGGATGAATTTATCTGTGGTCGTTGTAGAGGTCTGTATGTTTTGATTATTTGAATATTATATCTTGTTTACTCAAACAACGTTCCTTTAACAGGATAAACACCTGAAAAACACAGCCCTTATTACTTCAAAAGGTTTTGGGGAAGCACAATTAGCGGTCGAGATGCTCGCATGTGGGAGTGAAAATGTGCGTCGAATTTTACGTCAAGGTGATGTAATTTCGGATCAGACTATATTTGGAATTCGCGCCATTTCCTCGTACTTTACATTTTACAAAACTGTAATCCCTGCAGAATATTGGAATGAACTTGATTTCAGCTTACCACAAAACGAGTCTGTTGTTATTAAAAGATGGCCAGAAGGGGAGCTTCCAGAGACTGGTCTGAACCTTGCAAAACCAAATGAGAGACGAGAAATACTGGAAGCATTTGCCAGAATTCGTCAATTTCTTTTGCAATAGATGAAATTATATTATATCATAAAGTTTTGGATTTAGACCCAATTCTCGAAGATGATTTGGAATAACTTTGTATGGATCCTCGTAATACCAGACATATCTTAAAACAATCGAATTCTTCTCGCAAAGTTCTTTTTTGAGCTGATCACGCATCAACTGTTTTTCAAACTCTTCCGGGTCTTTGTGAAAATATTTTACGTGTTGCTCATATTGTTTACCTTGTACTTCTATAGCAAATTCGTACTGTGGATAATAGATGTCGAGTTCTAGTCCTCGAGGATGTTCAGGTATTTTCAAGAAATCTGGTCGGCAGATGCTGGAAGGTGGGCCAAGAATGTTAGTTATGACTTCGTGACACAGATTTTCATGCTTATTTAAGCAATATGGACACCAAGATTTAACATGCTTAATACTATTAAAACTAGCAAACCATTTATTACACATCCATTGCATCGGAACATAGAGATTTCTATATTCTGTAGAAAGACACGTACCTCCTTTACTATGAGCAATTTCCTTAGCTTCCGAAAGACCACAGAGAAGATTGCCAGCACATTGTGTGCACCATCTTCCCATATTTTTTATTCGATAAAGGGTTGTAGACCATTCATGACCTTTGGCACATTTCCAAAGCATCGGGGTATCTATTAATATATTCTGTAGAAAGGCACTTACCACCTCATTCTTGTGCAACATTATTTGCTATATCAATATTGAATCGTCATTGACGGTGCTGTGTATCATGTCTTTAGATTGGGATACATTCTTGTTCTGGTGTAATATGTTCTTGTACTAGGATAATCTTTTGGCTTGGTATAACACGTTTTTGTTCTGGTATAATATGTCCTTGTACTGGGATAATCTTTTGGCTTGGTATAACACGTTTTCTGCCTGGTGTACTACAAGTTCGACACCAAGTTCCCTTAAGAATGTCCTTTGCTGAAGCCTTCTACTTTTACACTGCCATTCAAGAGGATCCTGTCTATTAATATACTCAGTTGTAAGGCAAAGACCTCCTTTCTTTTCTGCAAACTTCCTCATATCCTCAATTGTTTGAGTATGACGATTTTCAACTGCACACCACGGGCACCATGTTTTTTCATTCTTTACATTAGAAAGTCTTGCAGACCATAAATGATCCTTAGCACATTTCTAAAGCATTGGCATCTGACAATTGATATATCTTTCAGAGATGCATTTACCTCCTCTGCTACGTGCGATCTCTTTTGCAACATCCAAAATTAATTTTGCCATTAATATTTTACATTAAATTTCAAAAGGCCGGTGAAAAGCATGATATTATTTTATTTCGTGCTTTATTCCTTCCTTTAAACATGATCTACTCCAATATCTTTTATTAGTTTCATTTTTTACTTAGCCGGTCAGCCCTTTCTCATGTATTACTTTATAAAATTATAATAAAGATTTTACTTTGAGTTTTTTAAACGTGTTTCGTGTTTTACAAGTGATATTTATTTAATTACATTTGTATTCTATTGCATTGCACTTACAAATTATAAAAATATAAATGTTTGGCGCCAGCCCTTTCTGACAATAATTAATGAAAAAAAAACTCTAATCCTCTTTTCGTGCACTGACATAATTAATAGTAACATTGATTACGTTAGCAATTTGCGAAAAAGAAGAAATTGTTAGGGTTACAGGTCTGGAGGCGTTAGGTGTTTCGACAGTTGATGGATTTGATATTATGAGTGATGATGATTTAGGGGGATCTTTAACAGCCTTTTCCAATAATTGTTGCTCAGAACTTGATTTCCCTTTGGGCCGTTTAGGTGAGATTGAAGAGGATGATGCCTTAGAAGAATTCACACTACTTGACCTAACATTTTCATTATGCACTTGCTCAAATAGAAGTTCTAGCGAATGGTGAGAATCATATTAATTTAGAGATAATCATTCACTTATTATCTACAGAAACATACCTGGTTTTAACCAGAATAACGTTGAGAACTCATCATATATTTTCTCTCTAACCAAGCTCTTCTTGACCCCAATACCTTCTCTGTATCTTTTTGTCATCTAAAAAAAATAGTAAGTATATTAACCCTAGATTTCATGTAAAATCCAAGTATGCTTACTTACATTAAAAGCTTTCGTAAGACTTAAGAATTTCTTGTGACAGTCTTTATTGAGGAAAAAGTTGGTATTCTCTTGTTCGTTAAGCTTACTGGAGATATCGTCCTAAAAATCTTGTTTCTTCTTATTTGGAATGGCATGATATTTGAAATTTCTTTATTTACGTTCGTTGATGAGAAGACGAAGCTGAGCGTCAAACCACTCAGTAGAAGAAGACATGTTTACATTGGTGAGAGAGCTCTATGAAAATTAGATCAGTTTTATGAAAATATCAAGTAATGTATTCTGATCATGCGAAGGATGATTAATTTGATTTAATGAAATGATTAATCGAATAATAATGGTGACTTAGCCATTTTTTCAATCCATATGATATGCTGATCACCCGTGATTTGAAAAACCGCTCAGCGTCATAAAAGTGCTAGAGAAGTGTCGTAAAACTCTCTTAGAACTATTGAGAAACTGGCAGGAATCTAGGGTGATACATGTGATATGATTACATCATGCTACAAACCAATTTAGCCATGTGCATGTAAATATAAAATTAGCTTAGTCTAAGATATAATCCTATATAAATCCTGATATGCTTGTAATCGAATAAAAATGAACCTAATATTTTATTATAATATAGTTGTTATAAACTGTTATAAATCACTATAAATTGATAAAAAACAGTGAAATTGCTAAAATCACTAAAAATACTATAAAATCGTTATAATCTGTTATAATCTACTAAAATACTATTATAGATTTAGATAATAGAACCTATTCTAAGTTAATTGATGCAAACAATACTTATGGAGGCTCTGAAGAATATATAAGAATACTTGTTGCAATATTGCATCAGGAAGTTTTGGATAGGCATTTGATATGTCAACAAACACCATGTGTTATTCAACGCTAAAAAGTGTTGAGCAACAAACTCTTTGTCAACCAATGCCATTATAAAATGCATAAATCAACACAATTTAAGTGTAGAACAACATATACAGTAAAATAACAGTATTGAAAAATACATATAACTAGTTGAATAACACATATAATATTACTAATTAATTAGTTGAAAAACACGCTTGGTTTAATTGAAATTTATTTATAATTTATAATATATAAACTATAGTTATTTAAATTTTATCTTAAACTACAATGTCATTATATGAATTAATCATCATCCACAGGGTTATCAACAGGTGTGTTGTAATTAGGCGTAGACAAAGGTGAATATGTCAAGAATCCGTCATCCTAAATTTAAAGATACTTTAAGTAATTAACTTTAAAATACTACCATATAAATTTAGTCAGTATTTACTTACCATTTCTGTATCATTGAATGCGCCAGTTCACGTTTTTATGACCTTTGAATCGATTTTTATAGAAAGATATTTTTTGTCAAATATAGTTTCAATAACTGATTGAACCCAAATACTGTTTGAAGCTGTACGTTTTTTTTTGGCTGTAAAAACAGATTTAATGATTAATGCTATATATGTATCAGCTTTCTTATCTTCGGGATTACTAGACTTGTATAGATCTTTGTATACTTTTCAAGTATTTTTGTTCTGTTTCCATTCTTTCATCTGTTATTTCGTGTAATTATCTTTAAAAGGTTTAATTCAGTCTATACCAAATGTTGACCATAAACTATCTTTAACACGTCTAACATAATACCCTCATTTTGTACAGATTGTAACAAGAAATTGATTAATTTACCAAATAAATTAGTATATGTTTGTTAACCACTAATATAATATTATTTAAATTAATACTGACTACTTACAGTGGAATTTATCTTTTTATTTCATAAATCATCAAACGTTAAACCTTTTTCTTCAGATTTCTGAAGCATACTAACACAAAGTTCATCAGCATCTAATTTTTCTTTAATACGATCTTTCATTTGTTGTTCACCTACTTGTTTGTGCTCATGAAATAATTCATGAGCTAACTTTTTAACTGCATCCTATAATGTGAGTAATTATAAGCCAATATAAATAATATAAAGAAACAGTACAAATAATTTATATTTACTTGATAAAATTCGTCTGCATTTTTGATTTTGATTTTTCCTTTTCCTTTGTATTTCATCTCGATTTCAGAATGTATCTTCTCATGATCAACAATATTTCTGATATTTAAGCACTCTGATCGTTCAACATTTTTTCTAAATTTTCCTGTTTAGTTGTTATAGTCAAGCTTTATCGCATTTTTTTGACCGATTTTAACTAACTTTGCTAATTCATACATAAAATTGCCTAACAATTTAGAATTAATTTAATAGTAAGTAAATGCAAGATAAATATTGAACTACTAATATAAATTCTGTATGATCTTTGACAGATTCTTTGGAACCTTACACAACTTTGGTGTTGTTTTGGATGTAGAATAAGGATGTATTACTACTGCAGAAAAGGGCATCGTTGATGCTTCTTTTGCCTAATGGAAATACATGATAAATATACTGAAAAAATATTGAAATAATAAAAAATTAACAATAACAATGAAACATAACTTGTTATCGGTTAAGTCAGTTGAGATGATGAACTTTTAGGTGTTTGAGTCGTTGGTTAAGATGATGAATTTTTAAGAGCTTGAGTCATTGGTTGAGATGATGAACTTTTAGGCGCTCGAGTCATTGGTTGAGATGATGAACTTTTAGATGCTTAAACAAAGGTATCATCATTATTTGAAAATAAGTCAATCTTCAGGATCTTTGTTTTCTTTTTTGATCGTGAATTGTCAACTAATTCCTCATTAATATCAGTTGAATGACTTTCTTTCAATGCTATATTTGGTTTTTAGGAAATTAGTACATCCGTTTAATTTCGGTAACTAAATAAGAAATTTTTTCATAACACCTTTTTTTGAAATCTAAAGTGTAATTACGAGTTAGCAAATATAAAAATAAATTTAAACAAACATGCTGATTTACAAATGATATATAATGTCAACGGAAGAAATTACAACTCCAAATATCACGTGGAATATGTCTATCAATAATGATCTCACATTAGATGATGTCACTACTGTACCACACAGTGATCAGCAGTAATTCCTGTTTCTTTTGTTACGTCTGTTCCCTCTGTATTTTCTATACAGTCTGTTTACCCTGTTTATTCTGTTTCGCCTGTAATT